CAGAACTAGATAAGCATTAACAGCATTCCAGGGAGGGGGGGATTTGGCCTTTTGTGGTTATGTAATGATTCTAAACTGATGCTTCATTTAAATCTTTCCCCTGGCTTTGCCAGTCTCTCTCCTACATCCATGAAGCCTAGCCCCAGACCAGCCCTGTAGCAAGATGCAAGGGGACTTCTTGTCATCCTTAGAAAGCCACAGATGGTTCAGTCCAGTCTCAGCCACAGCTGCTGTCACTCCCATGCCCCCTGAGATCCCTGCTGCTTCAGGCTTTGCAGTTTTCTTGCTCCCTCTACTGACAAGTTGTCCTGACCATATGAGACCATGTTCTACAGGTCTTGCAAGGAAACTTCTGTGTATCCATCCCCTGGGGAAGAAAACCTTGTGAGGCCAGCAGTTGCCTTGGTTAGCAGTAGGAACAAGAAGGTCAGCTAGAGTGGTAGATGCTGGGACAGGGGGCCAAAAGAGCATAGATGAGGGGAGGTAAGTGCTCCTGTGGGCTGTAAAGTGTCTGGATTTTGATCATGTGACCATTATGTTGCTACAACAGTTGTACATTTGAGAACTAGTTAACTCCCTTTTTCAACACCACTGTAACTTTGGAAAGTTGCTGAATGAATGGTCATAAGTCAAAGACGTCCTTTATAGACCTTCTGTAATTCTCAAAGACCTCAGCAAATGAACAGGCTTTTCATTTTTTTTTTTTCTGCCCAAGAGACCATTTTCCTAAAACTTGGAACATGAGGAAGCCTTGCTACGTACTGCCATCTTTCCATTAAGCGATTTTGAACCTGTTTTGTACCAGTGTTACACAGGCTAGAGATAAGAGATGGAAGAATAAGGCTGTAGCAAAAACAGTAGTTAGCAGTGCAACTTTTCCAGTCAAGGCATGAATGTGTGAAACTGCCTTTATATTGAATTTGACCTGTGGTTCATTTAATAGGCTGGTATTATGTATCCTGACCAGGGTTGTCTGCAAGGTCACAGCAAAAATCTTTCCAAGGCCTGCATAAAACATGCAAAAGGTATAAAACCTGGAGCTTTGCTGAATAAAACTGCACATTCTGTCTTTGAGGAATGGATCCTTTCTTTTCTCGTTCAGCCTTAATGTTCAGTTTCTGTAGATTTTGGAACAGGGAGGTGGCAATAACAGTCTAACAGACGCTTTCAAGGACTATAATTGAGTCGGAGACTTGATCGAAAGCTGCTGGTTCTACCAGAGAGATTAAAATGGGCAGAAAAGGGAGAGAGTTGCTCCTTAACTGTAAAGGCACTATCTGATCTGCTTACAGAATTCATATTCAAAAGAGGGATCTCTTTTTTTAAAAACCAACAGGCAAAACCCCCAAATCTATAACTGTTGCAGGTTTTGGCGTCCTCTGGAAGAAAAACAAAACAAAAGAAGAAAGCAAAATGTGTCATGATTTTCATCAAAACAATCCAGACTCTCTGCTGTTTTAAGATCACAGGCCAAAAGGGTAGTAAACAATGCATTTCATGGGAGTTATTGAAGAGAATATTATTTAGAATATTTGTTTAACTGGAAAGAGGATGCCATTGTCTTTCATTTGAAAAAGGAGCCAAGAATTGGGATCAACTTTCCCCTGTACTTCTAGAGCAAGGTGCTTCATGGACCATGGATGGCCCTCTTGGCGGTTAAGACAGATTAGCTAGCTTTGTTGATGATTGCAATGGAGTTTAGTTTACTGTGGTGCGTTAGAATAGCTGTTTTAATTTCTCAGATTTGACCCTTGTAGTGGATGTTGATTTAATAGTCCAACTTCTTTGTTTATAGGGGACAGAAGATTTGGGTATTTGAAAGCCCTGTGTACACTTTTCACTTAATAAATGCCTGTCAGATGAAATGAAGAATGGCTATTTGTAGACAGGACCAGTAGCCTTCAATTACTCCATATCCTCCCTCTCCTGAGTTAAGGTTGTGCTTATTTCGGATCAGTTCCTTGTTCTGCAATTCAGCAGTTGGTAAATGAGTTCTCTGTCTCTTGATCCTGACAGGGGAAACAATTAGTACAAATTCCAAGACAAGTTTAAATTAAAATGTTGACACAAAAATGCATCTGCTGTTCATGGAAATGGTCTAGTTTAGAGACTAGTTTTAAATTCTTACGCACCGGGTACTTTTCTTTTTAATGAAATTTCCAGAATATATTTGAGAGTATTTATTCTATACAGTGGATCATCTTCACTATGGTTCAGAGCTGCATATGTGTATGTAGGAATTTATCATATAACTAGCTCGATACCCATGCTTCACTACAAAAGTACGTGGTTGGACTTAGTTTTGGGGGAGAAAAATAAGGGGGGGAAATTGTGCTTCTGCCTACCAGCATCTATCAGTATTCAATTGTCTAGCATCCTGTCAATGTGTGAGAGAGTTGAATGTTGTTTGGAAACTGAAACAGTAGTTGCTGTGTGAGCAAGAAGGAGACAGCAAGGAGCCTGGGCAGGGCTTGGCTCACCCCTTCTATACTAAAGCTGCTTGGTGCTATGAAACTGAAACTGAAACTCCTCTGCTTGTGTTTTGCATTTGTAATAGATTTCTTTTCAGATGGGGTGGGGGAGTAGAACTCCTTAGAATCAGAGTGTGTTAATAATAATATACGAAATACTAATGCTTTGATGGTCATTTAAAAAAATCCTTTCTTAGTGAGCATCTAGAAGCCAAATTTCAAATATATAGGCTTTATGATTCTGGAGATTTTGTGATGATGCGTGAGTGGTATTTCACTTTTATATATATAGATTTGTCCATTTATGACAGAATAAGATAGAAAATGAAAATGTGTGTATCTCAGTCTAAACAACATCAGTTCTACTAAAAATAAACACTTACCTTTTAATGGGACCTCACCCATCTGCAAGCTCAAATTGCGTGGCATAAGAATAATGCAAAACATTCCACATGGAATGGCCTAATAGTACTGCCTGGAACAACACATGCTTAAGTGTTTTGAAGGGCGAAGTACAGATTGCATTTATGTGCTTACTAAATACAAAGGCAAATTATGTGAAGTCAACAACAAAGGCATATTGACTAAATAGCTGAGAGAACGTCACTGCAATTTTGAATGGATAACTGCTAGGATTTTTAAATGGATAACTGCTAGGATTTTTAAAATTTCTACTCGTGTGAAAACTGTGAAGTAGAAAACTACAGATAACTGCAGTACAAGTCTTCGTTTGCTGAATTGTCAATGAATTCATGACTAAAAGATGTTTTTTAATAACCTTTTCCAGAAACATTTCAGTCAATATATGATCATAAAATTGCCTTCAGAAAATGTGTATCATCTGTGTATATCCCAGGAGATGGGTGCAAAATGTTTCAGATAACATAAATATTAGAATATTATTGGGTAGTTGAAAATACTGCCACACTATTTGAACTGTGTATTTGAACTAAATAAATTGCTATATTTAGACTAATTACTGAGAAAATGTATGGAATCCTAAGCAAGTTGACCTCTTCCAGTTCTGGTACCCATTTCTTTCTGTATTGTTACCTATCTGTTCCAATCCATTGCTTTAGTTTGCATCTACTTCTTCAAAATGCATTGAATACCCAGAGTTTCTGCTTCCTGTCCTTCAAGGCTAGGTTGTATCTATATGGCATTATGATATTTCTTGACAGTAAAACTACTGTAGTGCACTTTTGAAACATGTCTTTCTCAAGATTAATAAGACTCAGTAACAATGATTCAATAGGATTCAATGTGCCCTTCTTATTTACAATAACAGCAGGTAAGAGAGAAGAGCAGTCAGAATAGAATATAATTGAATTCTATTAAATTCTTTATTGGCCAAGTGTGATTGGACACACAAGGAATTTTTCTTGGTGCATAAGCTCTCAGTGTACATAAAAGAAAAGAAATATTTGTCAAGAGTCAAGAATCATAAGGTACAACGCTTAATAATAGTTATAGGGTACAATAAGCAATCAAATCATACTCGGAAACAGTTAATAAAAATCATTAGGATACAAAAAACAAGGCTACAGTCATAAGTGGGAGGAGATGGGTGAAAGGAAGGATGGGAGGAAGAATAGTAATAGTAATGCAAACTTAGTAAATAGTTTGAGTGTTGAGGGAATTTTTTTGTTTAGCAGAATGATAGCATTCGGGGGAAAAACTGTCCTTGTGTCTAGTTGTTCTGGTGTGCAGTGCTCTATAGCATCATTTTGAGGGTAGGAGTTGAAACAGTTCATGTCCAGGATGTGAGGGGTCTGTAAATATTTTCGCAGCCTTCTTTTTGACACGTGCAGTATACAGGGCTTAGAAAAGAAAGACAGCTGGACATCTGTGCTGGAAAGCTACTGCTTTTACACCCTATTGTGGAATGTAAATCTGGGCTGGTTTCTAACTGGCAACCATAATTCATTTTCCTGGATCTTGGGTGGACTGCTTAGGGGCTAGCAGGGTGAGGAACACTCAAAGTGACCTCCCCAATTGCTAGCCTTTTACCTAGTTATCCCTCTAATTTCCCATGTGTACATTCATGCATACAACACAGATATTATGATGATTAGTGCAGCTATTCAATGGCATTCATCATTCACATGGATGAATGCAGCAACTATTTAGATATTGCATGTCCTTGACTTTGGGGCATTTAAAAGTTCCTAACCTCTCATTTCTTCACTTTACATTTGATTGAGTGTTTATCACTAAATTATATTAACAACAATTTTTAAAGAGATGAGAGGCAAGTCTTATTTGTACCTATTTTCCACAATAATTAACTTCGGTGACAGTTTGTATTCACACAAGAAACAATAACTAGAGAAAAGTGTGGTTAAGGGGGAAAAAAATCTATCTTCCCCGTTTTAATATGGATGGGCCCCATATGCTGAATGATTGCTTTGTTAGCAAACCAGTTATCAGAAAGACTGTATTTCTGAGATGATTAAAGCCAGGGATTGAATCGGAGTTGATTTGGAATGAATGCATACCATAATTAAAATTTGCCTTACTTCTGTTTAGATGAAAATACTGGAGATGGTGAATTAGATCTAAGTGGAATTGATGACAGTGAAATAGATATGGTAAGAATCTTTCCAACCCCCTCTCATAATTGTTTCTATACTTACATGGATACATTCAAAATTATCAGAGGTTTTTTTTTTTAAGTAAGGCTACTTACTAATGTTATTGTTTTTCCCTTGAGAAAAATAAATGTTTTTCTATATTCTATGTTTTGTTTCTAAAATCAGTATCTTTAAATATAAAAGGAAGGAGTTGTCTTTGGGAAAGTATGAGTTGGTTTGGGTGAAGAAAATGTTGGACACGAGAAGGAAGGTGATTGTGCTTATTCCTATATATTTGCTGCAGAAGTCTTAACACTTTTACTCTTTATCTCTAGTACATACTTAATGATTCAGAAGCCAGGATAAAAGCAGAACTGTGGATGAAGGAAAATGCAGATTATCTCAAGGAACAAAAGGGTAAGCAAAATAAATAAAAATATTTCTGATGTGTTTTGCATGCTTTTTATTTGCTTATGACAGTGTTTACAGATCATTTCTTAGGCTAGAAGGCGTGCAAAGTAAACAAAAGCAGTAAACAAACTTACAGGGCTCAAAACATTAACTGTAACTGTTCAATTTGAAGTATATCATAGTTACATTATTTTAAGAAGACTTAGCACAGACTTAAATACATTCTTTAATAGAAAGACACGAGCCATGAGTGTGTTATGTTGTAGTTAGCACAGGTACCCCACCTCCACTATATTATGAAATAAAAACATTGCAGACCTCAGGAAAGATCTCCTCAGAACTATGAACGCCAGGCATCCTTAGCTCCATTGTTTTCATTTTTGTAAGTCAGAAGTATTATGGCACCTGTGACACTGCATTACTGACCACTGCTCTAGATTTTGACATTGCTACAGAAGGGAGGAAAAATCAAGTCTGTATTGCTCCCATCTCCACCCCTACCTCCAACCCCCCGATTCTTAAAACATTATTCCGCTTACACTTCTCTTTTATCCTTTTTTTTTTTTAAGAAAAAGAAGCAAGGATAGCAAAGGAAAAGGAGCTTGGTATCTATAAAGAACATAAGGTAAGTAATATTTTTGAAATCAGTGATGTCAAAAGAGATATTTGAACAATGTTTAATTTTGTTGGATAAGACCTATAGAAAGTATTTCATTGTAAACACTAATGTATTTTAGAATAAGAACTCAATCTTATCAGCTTGGTTGGCTTCAAAAAAGGGGCTGGGCCAGTAAATGAAAGTCATGGGATCATAGTCTTGATTGCTTGTATGACTGCTTCTGAAGACCAGCTGCTGGGAAACTGGTGGGCTTCCTTGTACAATTGGTTGGCTACTGTGAGAATAGACTTCTTGAATTAAGATTGTAATATTACAATTTATTTTTCCTCTCTCTATTTTTAAAATAAATATGAAACATATTTTTGTGCACTCTATCTTATATATATTCGTTAAAATCCTCTTGTCACTAACATTCATTGTTAGTGTCTGTTTTATGTGTAGTGCATATATATCAACCCCTGGTGTTTTTTTTTTTTACTGCAGTAATGCTTTTAATGTCATTAAAGCAAATGATACGTAATCCAAACTTTCTTAATTATATATTTATTTTTAAAATAAGTATTCCAAAGCTTCTTTGTCCTGTTTTTTTAAAAAAGCTAGACATGTTACGATAGGATTACCCTCAAATTGAGCTCCATTTTTGTGAACCGCATCCATGCAGTTAACAGCGGTGGATATGCGTGACCTTTTTCAGGGTATTTTTTTTATTTCCCAATCTAGCCAAGAGCCCTGTCTTTTTCTGCTAACCTCCCACTGAGGTTCTAACTACATCTGAAGCTGCTTCGTTTCTTGAGATTAGTCAATGGTGGCTCAGTGCTGCCAGAGACAGAAAACAGTAAATGCTTCTAGCCAGTCCTGTGACCTGTTGGGTCATCCTTTGAGAGAAAATTAGTGCAGTATGATTTGAATAGAATTAAATTTTAGGTTAGTCATACTGTTGTTTTTTTTTACCCAAACAGATAAACAAATGACTATTGGCAGGCAAAAAGCAGTGGGAGCAGGAATGACTTCTGACTTCTTGCTGACTTCCTTATTCATTTTGCTTTTAAGGAAACTGGCAAGGAATGTTGGAAATCATGATCATGTCAACATGGGGATCCTGCAAGAGCCATATATTTGTAAATAAACTGATTCAAGCATCATGGAAATTTCAATTCCACAGGAGCAACGGGCCCTAGATTTGTAATGCTTTCTTTAAGTTAGCAGATTTTAGGCATTCCAATTCAAAAATTATTGCAGCATAATGCACTCTTCGGGCTAACTTGAGGGTTCAAACAGATAAACACAATAAGAATGTTAGTCGTTATCTGTTGTCATACCAAATTTTCTCCTTGATAAATTGAATAAGTATTTATAATAGATATGTTGAAGTTATGTTAGACTTTTATACTTCAGAAAGTACTCTTTAATGTGCATTAATAAGAGAGCAGGGAAGCCTGTGTTGTTCATTTGTTTCCTCTTTCCATTAATGAAATTCCATTCCCTCTTTTGGACAGAAATTGTCGGGGAAGATTCTTCAGTTATTAAAGCAGTCCATTGTACTACATTCTAAAATTGCCCCACCCCTTTACCTGACATGCTGAGGTCCTCTTTCAAGCTGGATCAGTTTCAGGTTCAGGGTTGTTGTCACTTGTACAGTCACTCCTTTCTTCAGTAGTGACAATATTCTGTATCCAAACTCTGTCCCAATAATTAAGAAAGAAAGGTTGATTTCCTCTTCTTGGCAATAGCTGCATATTCCAGTCTTCTTTTTCTAAGATACTAATTTATTCTGTGTTAATCCATTATGAAACTAATCATGTTATCCCTTTAAATAAAACTTTTCTATACATCTAAATGTGAGTATTCATGAGAGAAATGATGCTAGGGTAAAAACCTAATGAAGACACAATACATAGTTAACGCAAACAATAATTTACTGCTTTAATTCTGATACCCTAATGTTCAGTCAATTTATAATTTGGCTTGTTAAACTGTGCTTCCATAGTCCTAGTAGCATAGAGACATCACTAAGGTCTGAGTTCTGTCTTGCAAATGAAAAGGCTAGGGAGATGCAGAACTGACGTAACTTCTTTGAAAAACTGGCAGCAGCATTTTGGCCAGGTAGTTACTGTTTTTGCATTTTGCATTTCCTCATAAAATCCTAGCAGCATCCCTATCACACCTGCAATTTTTGTATTCAGCAGCAGAGACTAGAGCTCAACAGCAGAGTACATGCTTTGCATGCAAAAAATACAAGCTTGATTCCTAGTATCTTCAGATAGGGACAGGAATGATGCCTGTTTGATAACTTAGAGGAACCTATAACTCAGAAAAACTGTCTGTCAGAGTCTAGACAGTACTGAACCTGATGACTGATTTGTTGAAAGTGGCTTCCTCCATTTTTATTGCTGCATTTAAATTCAGTGCATTATGCATCTAGTTGACATTGCAGTTGCTTTGAGTATCACATATCATTTCTTGGGGGATTGCATTTATTCAGGCCCATTTTCCAGCAGATTTTCAACTTATGCATTCTTGGCAGCTCCCAGAGATCTATAGTATAGCAGTCCCAGAGAGCCCTTGGACATAGTTCTTTGCTTTTACTTGATCTATCTATGCATCCCTTGAGTCTCATGTTGCAGCAGTGGCTGCAGTGTGCTGTTTGATATTTCCTTTGAGATCAGCAGAACAAAGATTTGCAGTAAGTTTTTCTTCTATGCTTGTGTGTCTGTGGGTAGCAGTAATGTGATTTATTTTGTACTGACATTTTATAAAAAACACCACTTGAAAATAATTCTTCTGCAACTGGGACAAATCCAGATTTTAGAAATGAAGAAGCAGAGCCATGGGGAATTGTCAGCATTTAGAAGAACCAAGGAGGAGTGTATGGACTTTCCTTGTCAAGAACTGCAAACTAAAAGACTATCACTTTTTAGTATGAAGAAGGGGAAAGAAGAATAGTCTGCAACTGCAGGCATAGTCCACGTTTGGCATAGTTACTCTGTTTTTTACCAAGCTAAACTACAATCACATTTTTCACTTACAAGTCCATATTGTATTTCAAATTACAGCCTAATTCATTGTGGAATGCCACAATGTTTTTCTGTTTACAGCTTGTTAGTGTGAATCAACACATTGCAGGTGACAGTTAACGTGTCCTGATACCTTCACAACCAGATTGCGGCTCATGTGTTCTGTGTGGAAATCCCTTTGAAGATGGTATTATATACAGGCAGAAATGAGTTTGTTACATGGAACAACTAAATAAGACACTGGGACCAATGTCTGTACAAAGACATGCATTGCGATGATCTGCCATTTTTATATTCTAAGAATATCTATCAGATCTGTATCAGTTCTAAAGGCACTGAGAGATAAGTGATGCTGAAGGCTCACAGTTGTGCAGGCTGCGGGCTTCTCATTTCATTTCATATTTAATTAAAGGTGTCTAAAAATGAAAATTAAGTCAAGTGAGAATTTGCTTGGTAAATGTTAAAAGGAAGGATCCAGAAATGCTACTTTATTCCCTCTACCCCCAAATTATTTTCAGTTGATACAGTAAATGAGTTGGCTATGTCTGTCCTGATGTTTTTAGATTCAAGGCAACTTAATATTAGATAATATACATTAGATAATACCCAAAGGGTAATGCCAGAATTGACTAAATATTTTATTTTCTTGAGCCCTTTAGATCAGGGGTCGCCAACCTTTTGGACCTCAGAGACCACCAAACTCATAATTTTAAATCCCAGGGACCACTAACTGGTTCTGTGGGTGTGGCCTAATTTGTGGGGGTGGCTTGATGGTCATTTGACTGGCTGGATATGGCTTGTATGTAGATATAAATATTTATATAAATATTGAATTTTTTACAAAAAAAGAGCAACTTTTACCCAAAATCAGGCAAAGCAGGCAGGTAGATTGAGTTGCTCACAGAATCACAGATTCACTTCGAGATCTGTGTTTCTGCCATCGGCTAGCTCAGTCTGCACTGCTTCAGTCCTACGGAAGATTCAGCTCATCTAAAGATTAGCTAGAAAGCAAGAAATCCAATGATTTCCTGCTTTCTAGCTAATCTAAATCTCCCAGTGCAGCAGAACAGCTGATGGTCGGAAAAAGGAAAAATAGCAATTTAGCAGGCAAGTATGGCTCTAATTTTGATTCATCTTTGGTATCAGTATTAAGTTTAAAGGAGCATTTTTAAAAATCGTCCTTGCATTTATGTAACACTCTTAATCCAGTCAGTTAAAGATATAACAGCTTTATTTGTAAGCTTGGTTGCTTTTTATTGTGAAATACTACACTATGCAAACCCAACCCATTTGGTTACTATTTAGTTCAGTGAATTGAATGAACCCATTTAAAATGGATTAATTTCTTGGCAAAGTACTTGATTGCAAACTGAGTACAAGCCAGCAGTATGATATGGCTGCAAACAAAACAATAGAACTACAATTTTCAAACCATGGGAGGTAAGGAGTCTATTGTGCATTGTCCACAACCCACCACAAATACTGTGACTGGTTCTGGGCACCATAGAATGCAGAATAATTGAGTTCTGGGCACTATAGAACATAGAATAATAGAGTTGGAAGGGACCTTGGAGATCTTCTAGTCCAACCCCCTGCTTGAGCAGGAGACCCTAAAACATTTCAGACAAATGGCTGTCCAGTCTCTTTTTAAAACCTTCCAGTGATGGAGCACCTACATCTTCTAGAGGCAAGCTATTCTATTGGTTTATTGCACTTACCATTAGGAAAATTCCCCTTAGTTCTAGATTGCTTCTCTCCTTGGTTAGTTTCTATCCATTATTTCTTGCCTTGCCTTCTAATGCTTTGGAAAATAGCTTTATCCCCTTGTCTTTGTAGGAGGCCCTCAAATATTGGAAAACTTATATTGTGTCTCCCCTAGTCCTTCTTTTCACCAGACTAGATATACCCAATTCCTGCAACCGTTCTTCATATATTTTAGCCTCGATCTCCCTAATCATCCTTGAGATTATTTTTTGAGAGTTTTTTTTAATC